ATTTATTATATTCGATATAATTAATATGTCCTTCGGAAATAGCTTTTTCAAGCCATTCTTCTGGTATGTTTGCCATAACTTTTGTAAGTGCTAATCTTAGTCGAAAAATTTCTTTCTATTTATCAACGAATGCGTACGTACGTACGTACTGAATAGTTTTTTTTTTTTTTTTTTTATATATGTCGTACGTACTACATTCCACGGCAGTATGCCTGATATAGATATTATTTTTGTATTACAAAGTCGGCGGTCGAGGGACTTCGAAATTATATCGGCCGTCGGTTACGAATTGTCACCGTGAAAGGTTGTTAACTATCTAAAAATTCAGGGCCAAAGGAAAATATTAGTAATCACCAGAAAGGCCATGTATAAATAGAAGAAAGAAAATTTTCTAGTACTTTGAGAAATTAAGTCTTTGTCTTGTACGTACGGTGCGGGAAATTTAAAAACCTCAATATTCTATGTAGAGATGATGCATAATCTAGTAGTACATTTCCTAAATTATCGATCTCAATAAGCGAAGGGAATCTCTTTGCATAAAAACAATAATATATATGCAAATAGCATGCTATTTAGTATGACAAATTTACATTATCTTCATTATATATAAAGTGATTGAAGTTTTTAGGTTTCCTGTACCATACGTAAGTAAGTACGTACGTACGTATATGTTTTAGCCCTCAGTGACTATGCAGTGACTATGCCGAGACCATTAATAGATATAATAGAAATAATAATGACAAAACCAGTTATCATCGTCTTAGTATCTTAGTACGAAAAACGAAAGTGAAAGGTAAAATTTTTTTTGTTCTCTCATATACTTTATATATACAACATTTGTCTCTAAACTATATTATTTACATTGATTTTGCTCATACGACATTTTTTTTATGCATCGTGGGCAAAATGCGCATGATAAGATTAACCTATAGCTACCAAATCGGACCTGCAGATCTTCGATTTTGATTGGCTAACGGCCGAGGATCTTCAAAATTTTGGCCCACATTACAATATTGTTTACTAATTTCCGGCCGGAATTACCTTTTTAATTTTTTCATTCCAAAAATAGAAATTCTTGAAAAATAAGCCCGCACTATGGTAAAATTGACCCAGGGACAATTTTTCACTTATTGGCGGCTATGATTTTATTAGTAAAATTATGAGTAATCCCGACCTAATTTTTTGTTCATCGCTCTTAGCCAATCAAAATCGAGAAGCTGCCGGTCCAATAATTATGAAAAGCATGATGCACATGATTGATTGAAGTTTATGTGATTAAGAATCGATTACTTTGTTATATTAATTCTTGAAAATTTAGCAAAGAAAATTAAAACTGATTTATATAAAATCCTTTAAGACATTGTATTATTAATAAATTTTTAATATTGCAAATATTAAAAAAAAACTTTATTACAGAATATATTATACTGTATTAATTAAAATTACCGTATTGAAATATATAAGCATTAATTTAATACTAAAAATACTTTTTATTATGTATCAGATACATATTACATGCAAAAATAAAAATAATTTATTCATCTTCACTCTCTATTTCATTTGAACAATTTTCAAACAACTCCTCACTTGTATCTCAGTTAATATTTTCTCATATAAGTCATTCGAATCATTATCTGTTGGATCTAATAATTGAATATATGTGTCATTCTATTATTAAATCGTGCTACTGCTTTTGCAATATCTAAAGATTTATGCCATGGACAAGTTAGTTGTAATTACATATACCAGGAAGGAGCGATATTGAAAATTTCACGAAGTGTATGGTTGGGTAACCATGTGCAGTATTAGAATTTATATAATATAATATACTAATTTGTATAAAACTTCGGGTGATTAAAATTCGAAGGTACTGTGTATACACAGACATCCGAATTTTCGATCATCCGACCAATTTATATAATCATAGTTTCCCGAGCCATGAAACCAGAAACCTAAATTTTGATACCACAAAGTTATCGATCAGCTCTAAAAAAATTCTTCTGTAGAAAGTTATAGAAGTATATATTTTTTTTAAATAAAAAGACCGATAACTTTGTAGAATTTAGCTCTATGTATAAAATTATCGTTCGGTTTTTAAATATTTATCTAGAAATAGGTTATATTTTTTTTTAAAAAAAAAATCATGTTTTGACAAGCATGTTAATTTTATTATGCAAACGCAATCACAATATATGTAGATCGAATTTCCTCTAAAGTGTACTCTTATTGTAGATTGATTACGTTAATCTACTAATCTGCATAATTTAAATTATTTAATGACGAGTGATTATCATATAAACAGCCAATAAAAATAAATTATAAAATGCGAGGATTTTCATAATTGCTTTTTTTATTGACCATTTTAAACTTAATGCATAATGACTCATATCGATATAGTACAAATCCTCAAATAAAGAAATTCAAAGATGAAGTCACAGGAATGATAATTCAATCAGATGCTATAATGTTGATGTACAAAAAGCCTTATTTAGTGTACAAATCTACAAATATAGAAGTTCAAGGATGAAGTCACGAGGAAAGATCATCCAATCAGGTGCTATAATGTTGATGTACTATAGTGTACAACTCTGTAAATATAGAAGTTCAAAGATGAATTAACGATGAATGATCATCCAATAAGATGCAAAACTTCACTTGCCATTAAACCATACACTTTATGGCACTCCCGTTTTTAGTACGTTCCTTGAACTTTATTAGATTATAAAAACTACTGTAGTCATAACGATCGTTGACACCTTCCTAATTTCAATGCGATAGCACTGCGCAGCTATTTTATAAAACAGCTTTTAGAAAAAAGCCCAAACAATAAGTTCAAAATTATTCTGCATTCCTGTCGATTGTCGATCGTTAGAAAATCGGGTGCGGAAATTCTATATTAAGTTTTCAAGAATTTGAAGATTATTACAAAAGAAGGTATTCACTTGCAGATGAAACCATCAATACTCCATTAAACAGTTATTTACCTGTTTCGGGATAAAAGTGTCATAAAAATTCTAATGCATAATAAATTGAACCAAACTAAAAAGAAAAAAAAAACAAATAACTACTTTGCATTTAAAAAATCGTATTCTAAAAAAAACAAGAAACAATAGAACTAATCTCAACAATAGAATTAATCTCATCGAATACTATTTCACCCTCTTCCTTATTGAAAATTATCCTTCATCTACTGTATTATCAAAATTTATTCCTTACTTACATCACACCAAAAATTATTTTCTTCGCCCTCTTTTCAATAACTTTCCATTGAAGATATGAACTGCTCAACAAGTTTTCTTGACCAACATGACTATGCATATCATGATTATAATCGTCGTCCTGGTCATGCTTTAGCTTTTGACAATTATATTAATTGTAAAACGAATTTTACTTCTTTTTCGTGCGCTAATCATAATAGTAAATGTAATTCAAGGCATAAGCTGCAAAAATATTTTTACAAAATACTTAATGTATTTAAAAAATCATCAAAAAAACATAATCCGAATTACCAAAAAGCTATTCAAGCATTAGAAGATTTACAATATAATGAAGCTATCTATTTATTTACTCAAATTTTAAAAGAATATCCTCAAAGTTATTCAGTTAGGTGTGATCGAGCTTACGCTGCATATCAAATTGAAGATTGGGGTAGAGCTATTAACGATTTGAATTATGCCATTTCGAAAAGACCAAAAAAAACACGTGCTTATTCTCTTCGAGGTGAAGTATACCGTCTGAGATTTATGTATGATAAGGCTTTGGTTGATCTTAATAAATCTTTGAAAATACAAAAAAGTATTTTTGCGTTAAGGTCACGTTCAGAAATTTACAGTTCCACTCAAAGATATAGAGAAGCTCTTCTAGATCTAGACTTGGCTTTAGCTATGAAACCACAAAATATTTTTATATTAGTACGCAGAGCAAAGATACATTGTTTACTTGGACTTTATGATAAAGCATTGAAGGATTTAAATTATGCACTTGAATTAGATACAACAAACGCTGTTTCAATATTAGCAATTCGTGGTGACATTTGTCGAATTATAGGACGGCATGATTTAGCACACGTTGATTTAGAATCTGCGCTACGATGTAAAGAAGATATAACGGTATTAGAACGAAGAGGAATGAATGGTTTATGGAGCTTTGGATAAAGATCAAGATACATTATTAGATTTTGATGGAATTCTGCAAAAAGAACCTCTAAATTTTAATTCTCATAAGCATAAAACAAAATTCTTAAAAAGATGGAAAATATGAAGAGATGCTTACGCACATGAACATTACTTTACAAATAGAGCCTTTTAATTTTTAATTAAAAAATCAATGAAAGGTTTAGCATTTTCTTGGTTATTAAATGATTTTATAAATAACTATATTTTATATTGAGAATTGATCCTATTAATGTTGAAATACTTCAAAAAAGGGTTGAAATTTATCTTATTTGGAAAAGCGTTAAGTGATTTTCAAAACTGTAGAAATTGACCCTACGTGCGTGTATGCATTAGTTCGATGTGGTGAAGTCTATCGAATGGCAAAATGGCAAGGCAAAGTTGTAAAGTATTAATAGATTTGCATGAAGCAGTTAAATTTGATCCTAGTAACTTTATGTCCGATAAAGTCATAAACTGTTGCATATGTTAAGAAAGTATCGTGAAGCATTAGGTGACTTGGTGAAAGCCTTAAAAAAATGTTTTCGCATTCGAAACTCGTGATGCTTTGTATAATAGTTTGAATAAATATGGGGAGGCGCTTGCAGATTTGAATATTGCATTAGAATTGAATTCATCTAATATTTAGGATTTATTTATCGAGGAGAATGTATTAAGAAGGGTTATAAAATTTAAATAAAGTGTTTCCTATTTCTTAATTGGGTTATCCATTATCGATAGCTGCTTATCAAGCATTAAAAATTAAATACTAAGGCGTTATTAGATCTAGATCGAGCGTTAAAAAACATAAAAGGTGGAACTTCTAATATAGATCACGAATTTAAATTAAAGCACTATGTAATTGAGGTGTGTATAGAATAATGTTGGCGGTAGAATTAATACGGTTACGGCATGTGCCGTATTATTTGCCGTATTATTTGCCGTAATTACTTTGTGCCATAATGCCGTAATGCCGCAATGCTGTTATGCTGTTGCAGTAATGTGTTAAAATACTGTAATACTGCAATATAGAATAACATAGGATAATATTCCGCTAGTGTTTATTATTTAAAGTAATTTTTAGAATTAAATTAACGCATAGTAAATTTACTGATTTTGTGAATAGATAATCAAAGTTCTCAGCGAAAGATCTTAATTTTTTTTTTTATTGCTCGGTCAAGCTTATTTCTTATAACTGGGATTAACGAATTATCCTAAAATAAAAAGACTTGTTTTTGGATGTTCTAAAAATTCCTAAATTGTTCCAAATCATCCTAAATTGTTCTATATTTTTACTAATGCGAAAATGCTCAAGCTGCAGTTCTACAACGTAGTTATTATATTCATGATTAAATTGGTAACTGTAAAGCAAGTTATGTTATATTTCAGTCATGGGCGATGATGGTTGGTAATTACTTTAAAGAAATTAGTGTTAAAAAGAATGAACACAAAGCGTTCAAATATTATCAAAAATCCGAAAGTAGTTTAATTTTAAACCCTAACACTAACACTACCTTAAGCTGAGTGTTTAATCATATAATAGAGTTCCTTTTTTTCAAACTATCAGGATTAAACTTGCTGGTGAATTAATTGTCAGTGAATTAAGTGTCGGTAAAATAAATGTGACGGTAAAATGGACATATCAATAATTAATCGTCAATGATTAAATAAGCTTTCTGGTGAAGTCTTGTGCTATAAAAGGAGCATCAGCGAAATGAGCGGAACTGGTTTAATAAGTTCACTTTATTAAATTAATGCGAAATTAAGTTGCAGTATAATAATCATAAGAGGCTTCAAATGATAATCACATTTATTGTTAATTACATTTTAAACTATATAAACATGAGTTGCCAAATACAGTACACTGTCTAATTTGACGTTCGTAATTCATTTGATTTTTATCTCCAAAAATATGTTAATTTTGAAAGACCCCAACAAAGATTCGTAAACACCTTTGTTTTAAATAACTAACTATGAACTTTTTTTTTATTACTGTGTACTTTCTTAAAGTGTACTGATCAATACAGTAATAAATGAGTGACGCCAAGTTAAATATGACTTCAAACGTCCAGAATTTATATGATTGAAGTTTTCTTTTCTCTTAAAATAATATCTATTATACTTACTCGAACCAGATTAATGCAAAATTAAGGTATAATGTAAATGTAATGTATATCTACAACTTTAAATATCTTATTTTTAAAATATACATTGGTTAATAAAAACTATCATTATACTCACTAATTTATCAAAATAATATGCTTTAGTAAATATTCAAATTATTCGCAAAATCAATTAATTGAGTTAATAGAAACTACTTGATAATGTGCAGTGCAGTATCATTATCTATTTAATTAAATTTACAACTTTAAGTTCAATTTTATTATAATTCTACGTATACTGTAATATTCAGTTTTTTAATGTAATCACATAGAAATTATTAGCAATAATCAAATATAAATTTTAGCAATTTTTTTATTATTAACTAAAACTCAAAAATCAAGCGCTTAAAGTTATAAAAATTATAATGATGTATATGAAGATCACTGATTAAGTTCTTGGTTTTTAGTGCCTTATATTCATCTATTCTCGGTTTGGTGTGATGGTGTAATATGTATACAATATTGGGCAAAAATTGTCGAATAACGGTAATTTGGCAAATGGGCACGTGCCTCTTTGCGGCACGTTAGCCAATCATTTGCCAAATTACCATATTCGACAATTTGCCCAATATTGGTGTTATCCGGCAATTTATGATCATGATTGGTAAGGA